AACTCGTCCATGTGTTATAACATGAGTAGACCACATAATTAAGAGTTCTCACTTTTATGGTAACACAAGCTATAATTTCCAATAAATGGACCCTAACCCCGTATCCCCCATCTTTAAATATTCCTTTTTCTTTTTCTTTTTGCAAATAGTTTCAAAAAGTTGTTTAAAATATATATATTAGATAAATTTTAAATAAACTAAAATAAAACATGAAATTTTATCACAAGTAATTTTTTAAACTTTTTAAAAGTTTCCATTTTAAACACAGAAGATCGGATGTATGAATAACTACTTTTATCATAAGTAATCAAGGTTGTCCTATGTAGAAAGTGGTGGACCCCTTCAAAAGCAAAGTGGCGGACTCCTTCCGGACGAAGGAGTGGCGGACTCCTTCAATAGCAAGCTTTGCTACTAATATAAGGCAGGGCAAGCAGCACGATGATCAATCTATAAAATTGCATTTGCTTTTTAAAAATCTTATCTCTTGTTAATTTATCGTTGAGTGCCCAACATGAGCAGGTGCATGTCTTGCGAGGCCATATCCGAGGGATATGATGCCGCCACGTGCAAGCAGCGCCACGAGGTCCTCAAGGCCAAGGTCGCTTTTCTCACGACGTCCCAGCCGGCTTCCTTCCCCGACGTCCTTCTGTTTGCCACTGACGATGGCTCTGCCGACATCGCCGAGCCCCTTATACCCGTTCCGGCCCATAAAGCCGTTTTGGTCAGTACCCATTTCGCCACAACTTGCTGCTACTTTACTTCATCACTGATTTTTTTGTTTTTGTTTTTTCCAAATATTTTGGTGGCTTTAATTACTTTAATTTATTTTTAGTTAACAATAATAATATTCTAAATTACTCTAAATACTATAACCTTTTCTGTAACTTTCCTTTTATTACTCCTTATTTGCAAATCAAAATTTGACATGTAAAACTTTGTTTTTTTTCCAGTATTTTCAATGAGTTATAAATATATACATATATATTGTGGCCAAATTTGACTTGAAATGGCTAAAGGGTTATGGCTGCTCCTCCAAAAATCCTTGTCTTTTTTTTAATCTTCAATATTTTAATTATCCTTTAATTTAAAAATAGTTTGGCCATGCAGATATTGTACTATTAGAATAATTTGGGTAGAGTCATTTTCTCTCTCCTAGCTAGCTATTAGTAGTGGTCTAGTACTATTCACAAAATTAGTAAGTTCCTCGGATGATATATATTATTATTCTAGCTGATTTTTGTTCAATTAATGTGCTGTTTGAATTCCTCTTAAATATATATCATGTATATCAATAATGCTATTTGTACCATCTTTCGACGAATCAGGTGAGCCGTTCTCCAGTGTTCAAAGCCATGCTTGAGAATGAGATGGAAGAAAGCCAGAGCGGCACCATTAAGATCGGCGATGTGACCTACGACGCCCTTTGTGCCTTTGTCAACTACCTGTACACAGCTGAGGTATCCCTTGACCAGCAATTGGCCTCTGATCTGCTTGTAATGGCTGAAAAATACCAGGTGCAGCATCTCAAAGACTACTGCCAGAAATTCTTGGTGTCCAACCTCAACTGGGACAATATACTCCCAACCTACACCTTTGCGCACCAGCATAACGCTAAGCCGATCATCGACGCTGCCTTGAGGGTGATCACAGCCAACATGGACAAGCTCACTGCCCTGGAGGAGTACGCGGAGCTGAAGGAGAGACATCCAGGACTTGTATTGGAAATCTATGAAGCTCATTTCAGTCGTGCAGCAGCAGTCCGTGATCACTCTTCATTTTCCTGTGTACGCAGGGCTTCTTCTAGGTCTCGTCGTTTCACTATTGCGCGAGGAGAAATTGGAAACCAACCCCAAGTTTCAACAACTTCTTCAACGGGCTTCATTGCGCCATAGGTTTTTTAAAGAGGGAAATACTGTATAAAAATTATGTGTTTGTTTAAGGATTTCTTTTGCTTTTTATTGTGTACTTTGGTTAAGTGAGTTTGTCTATTGAGCGTTTCAAGACCATGGTGTAAACACTTCCCCCGCCAATGGAGTCATACTATATACAGTGGAATAGTCCATTTGGCCTCAGAATTAATGTTCGAAACCCCTAAGCATGAGAGTGCGTGACTAAACTCTCATGCCCATTGTTACCTTTGACAAACAAAAAAAACACTTCCGCTCTGGGCCTCAACATTCCATCCATTTCGAGCACGATGGTTGATATTACACCTGTACGTGCCCAACACAAACAGAACAACAAGAAATCTATCCATGTACTCTCTTGACCAAAAAAAAGAAATCTATCCATGTACTCTACATCACATGAAGTTCACACGCCTACCAAACTAGTGGAGTCGAAATCTATATGAAGCTTATCTCTCCAAACAGGTCAATACAGTACTGCTGCCCAGAAAGATTCTTTCTTGAATTGGAATATCACTTTTGTCTATCCCGACAAATAAGAATGAATGAACATCACTGGATCTTTTTTGGGACGGATCCAATCAGAGGCTAACCTGGGCTATATAGCCTTTTTTTTTAAAAAATAGAAATTCTAGGATTGCATTCATAATTCAGCCAAAAAAGTCATTAACCACAAGGGGCCAAAACAAACTAGCCACAAATGGCGATTACAATAACGGAGCGGTCGAATATCAAAATTAAGACAATCTGGTGCGCCTCCACTAACGATCACGCAGGATCAAATAAACTCTAGCATAAGCATCTCAACTAAGATTGCAAACTCATAATAATCAAAAATAAATAAAGCTTGAAAAAACCAAGCCATAACAATACAAATAAAATTCTTACAAAAGAAAGATAAAAAGCTCTCACAAAGGAGATGTGAAAGACTCTCACAAAAGGAGAGGTGAAACCTACACAGAGAACCAATAGAGTCTCTGTAACTTATTCCGAACATAAAGAAACCGCAAAAGGATGGTGGTAGAGATCCGATGCCGTAACACAGATGGAGATCCGACGTCGAAACGCAGGTGGAGATCCGACGTCGAAACGCAAGTGGAATCCAACTCTTTGCCTATGATGGTTGGAGGCTTTTATTATTTTTCAGCCCAAAGTCACATGTCACCCACCTACAGCCTACCCCACTTCACTCATCAACCCCTCAACATGTTCAATTTTCTATGTCATATTTTATTTGTGAGATGTTAGCAAAAAAAATTATTTTATTGGTGGAATCTTACAATTTCCTTTCCTCAATTTGTTGTTACTGAAATTTAGGGCATTTATTTTTTAAGTTCATGAAGTATAAATTAGAAATTTTCAATTCAGCGATATGAATTATCAAAATTAGAAATTTACTTTTATTATATTTTGTACGTAAATAATTCCATTTTGAAAGTCTGGTCCATCCCTGATCTTTTCATCAAACTATAGAAAGCAGAGTGGGCGGGCCCCTTCCAAAAGCAAAGTGGCGGACTCCAAGGATTCCAATAATTAATAGTATACCAAAGAAAAATAAAAGTGTTGGAAGAAAATAGTGAAAGAGTCCAATGAAGCTAGCTAGTAGCTACTAATATAGAAGAGGAAAAAGGCAGGGCAGCACGATGATGAATGCGTGAAATTACATTTGCTTCGAATTTCTTCTCTTCAACATGAGGTGCAAATCTTGCGAGAGCAGGTTCCAAGATTATTACGCCGATACCTGCAAGCAGTGCCACGAGCACAACAAGGCCAAGGTCGCTTTTCTCGGGGCCACCCAGCCGGCTTCATTCTCCGACGTCGTTCTGTTTGCCTCCGACGACGAGGCCGCTGGTCCCATCCCGGCCCATAAGGCCGTTTTGGTCAGTACCCATTCCGCCAACTTGCTACTTTACTTCATCACTGTTTTTTTCTCTCAACAATTTGGTGACTTTATTTGTATATTTTAGTTTTTTTTATGAATTGGTTGATTTCTTTGGAGAACTATGTAACAACCTGAATTAGTAAATGTAAAGAGAGATGTGATTTATTTGTAGGTCGATGAATAGTAAATTTGATTGACTTGAAATGGGCAATGCGTTATTATAATTTCTTTGGAAAAAGTTGTTTGATTGATTATATACAGTTATATACAACATGTGTTTTTCAGGTGAGCCGTTCTCCGGTGTTTAGAGCCATGTTTGAGAATGAGATGGAAGAAAGCCTGAGCGGCATCATCAAGATTGGCGAAGTGTCCTACCTCACCCTTGGTGCCTTTGTCAACTACCTCTACACTGCTGAGGTACGCCTTGACCAGCAATTCGCCTGTGACCTCTTTGTAATGGCTGAAAAATACCAGGTGCAGCATCTCAAAGACTACTGCCAGAATTTCTTGGTGGCCAACCTCAACTGGGACAATTCACTTTCGACCTACACCTTAGCGCACCGGCATAATGTCAAGCAGATCATCGACGCGGCCTTAACAGTGATCACAGACAACATGGACAAGCTTACTTCCCGGAAGGAGTACGCCAAGCTCAAGGAGAAAGATCCGCAACTCGTGTTCCAAATCTATGAAGTTTTTCTCTCCAGACATTCTTCATTTTCCTGTGTGCGCACGGTTTCTTCCGATGACTGTCACTACTGGTGATATGAAACCGAGCCCCAATTTTCAACAACTTCGGCCTTCACTGTGCTGTAGGTTTTACTTGTTCATGAATAATCAATTTGGTTTTACTGTAGAGCATTTCCAGACTCCGGCAACGATAGCCAAGTTTGACTTAAAATGCCTAATGAGTTACTGTAATTACTAGGCACTTGTAAATGCTCCTCCAACAATGCCTGTCAATTTTTTTTGGTTAATCTTCAATATTCAATTATCCTTTAAATTAACAAATAAACAGATTGGGACATACAGAAATTGTGTTATTGGCTAAAAGTATGCTCGAGGAGTAGTTTTTGGGAGAATTTTAGCTAAAAATGACTTGGGAGTAGTTAGAGCATTAGGCAATACTTTCTCCCATCTCTTTGATTCAAGTGTTTTCTCCCTTAGCTAGGCATATTATTTTCTTTAAATATGTCAAGATTTAGTGGCGCTCCTATTTGTATATGGAACATATCTCCCTTTTAGATATGGGCTTTTTGTTTCTGGAGGCTTGGGGTTATCTTCTGGAGGAGAAGCTAATGTCTATTGTCAGAGTTTGGGTGCTGTGACCTGGTGGAGAAATGATGGTGTTGTGATGCTTGTATGAGTGTCTGGAGGAAGATAGTGGATATGCTCTTTCTCTTACTGATACTGTCCTCTTTTCCAAATACTGGCAAAAGTAGAGTTGTTTGCCGATTGCTGGTTTTGATTTGGCACTAATTTACACGAGAATTATGCTCTGTTTGTTTATGTAGTTGGCTTCTAGTGAGCTAAGTTTAATGTCTTTTATGTTGGCTCATTGCTTCAAGCCTTGTGCTTGTAATGTAAATTTGAATTGGCTCATTGCTTCAAGAGGGCATTGATGTTTCAATTCTCTGTAATTGTCAATGTTATTCAATAAAAAGTAAAAAAATTTAATAGTAATAGGAGTTTTATGGATTATCATCCATTATTTTATGCAATTCAATTGGCATCATTGTCTACCATCCGTTTCATTAAGATTAAGCTATTATTTTATGCAATTCATCATCATCCTTGGCAGCGGGCCCATTCCAAAGCAAAGTAACCAACTCCTTCTGGAAGAAGGAGTGGCGGACTCCTTCCAGAGGAAACTATATACTGTTACTCCGGTTCTTTTTAAAATTGCCTTTATTTATATCATGAAAGATGAATCAACATCATCCTCAATCTTTTCATCTCCTAGATACAGATAGAAAGCAGAGTTGCGGGGCCCTTACAAAGCAAAGTGGCTAACTCCTTCCTCCGGAAGGAGTCCAATAATTAATAGTAAACTGTAAACCAAAGGAAAAAGAAAAGTGAAACGTCCAGTGAAGGTAGCTGCTAATATAAAAGGCAGGGCAGGCTGCACAATGATCAATGCATGAAAATTAAAATTACATTTGCTTTAAATTTCTTATCTTCAACATGAGGTGCATATCTTGCGAGGGCAGATACGACGGAGATGACGCCGGCACGTGCAAGCAGTGCCACGAGGACCACAAGGCCAAGGTTGCTTTTCTCACGACGACCCATCCATCTTCCTTCTCCGACATGTTTCTGTCGGCTTCCGACGACGAAGAGGCCGCTGGACCCGTTCTGGCCCATAAGGCCGTTTTGGTCAGTATCCATTCAGCCAACTTGCTACTTTACATCATCTCTGATTTTTGTTCCACGATTTCGTGACTATTGTTGTTTATTTCTAGGCAAATCAGAGGTTCCAAACTTCAATTTTTATTTATTTATGTAGAGACATGTGCCTAGAAGAAAATATTGTGTGTTTTATTACGAGTTATTTATATATATATGCAGGCGTACGTGTGATGTGAGATGTGATTTATTTGTAGGCAGATGAATGATTTATTAGCAAATGTGATTTATATTATGTCTGTTAGGTGAGCCGTTCTTCGGTGTTGAGAGCTATGCTTGAAAATGAGATGGAAGAAAGCCTGAGTGGCATCATCAAGATCCGCGATGTGTCCTACCGCACCCTTCGTGCCTTTGTCAACTACCTCTACACAGCTGAGGTATGCCTTGACGAGCAATTGGCCTGTGACCTCCTAGTAATGGCTGAAAAATACCAGGTGCAGCATCTCAAAAACTACTGCCAGAAGTTCTTGGTGTCCAACCTCAACTTGGACAATTCATTTTCGACCTACACCTTTGCGCACCAGCATAACGCTATGCAGATCATCGATGCAGCCTTGACGTTGATCATAGACAACATGGACAAGCTTACCGCCCAGGAGGAGTACGCTGAGCTGAAGGAGAAAGATCCACAACTTGTATTCGAAATCTATGAAGCTTATCTCTCCAAACAGGTTAATAAAGCAGCAGCACACGCTACTACAAAACCGTTGTATTCTCCCTTTGGAAACCCTTGTGGCTCGTTTGGAAACCCTCAGGGCTTTATATTTTAGGCCGCCGCAGTAAAAAAATTCGTCAATTTCCACTTAAATTATCAAAGATTTTTTTTAAAAAAATAGTCTGATATGATGTTATCTGGAACACACCAAACACAGTATAACTTAGTCAGACTATTTATCCGCTTATAATATTATGGATAAACAGTCAGTACTCTCCTGAACAGATTAATACTATCCGATAGAAATTAATCAGTACAGTCCGACGTACCAAATGAGCCCTCATTGTCGACCGCCATCTTTTTGAATGTCAAACTATGATAGTAAATCACCGTCGTATATTAATTGTAAAGACTACGCTTTTACTACAAACCGTCGTCTATTAATTTTAAAGACAACGGTTCTTTCAAATAATCGTCGTCTATTAAGTGTAAATGCGACGTATTGTCTGAAAAAACAGTCATCTATTATATCCAAAGACGTCAGGTTTGAAAGAAACTGACGTCTATTAGCTCTAAAGATAACAATTTTATTAAAAAATTGTCGTTTATTATCTGTAAAAATGACGTAGTGATTTTACATTTTAGCTTTTTTTTTTTTTGTTTCCAACGATTCTCTACAACGATTTTAACTAGAAAACCAACCATAATGCTTTTTGAACAATAAATTCAGGTCCAAATCTTCTATTACCCAGACCATACATATATATACTAAAAATTTGTTTCTTTCAAAAAACTTGAAGATTCAATAGTAATTACATAGTTTACCAATCTTGATTCCTACTATATCCATACAAAATACCATATCCATAGCATTAACCTATAGTTACAAAATACCATATCCAAATCATGAACCTATAGTTGTTGTATCTCCCACAATTTGTACTTGTTCTCCACATTCAGCTATCCTCTTGGAGTAGTGTTCTTAGTCATCTTGGTCAAATGGATTTTCAATTGATACAATAGGATACTCACTCACAAATGACTTGTAGTGTTTCTGTGCGACAAACCAAACATAGAGGATATATTAACAGACAACTCACCTCTTCCTTGAAGTTCATGTCATAGGTTTTATTTGATCCATAAAACTTAGATGCAGCAACATCCATTCCAATGACAACCTGAAGAGAAAACAACAAGAACTTTCCCTCAATACTCTTGCAATGTCATCAAATTTTCTTTGTACAAAAACTTTGGTTTGAAAAATAAAACCCACTTTGCCTATGCATCTAGCCTTTTCAATGGTTGTCTTGAGCAATTCAAGACCTTCTTTGTTCTCCTGAATTCGCACAAAAAGGATTATGATTTCAGTAGAGAGATGTGAAAGGAATAACAAGGAATAATAGCAACTTCAGTTAAATGATTAGGTTTCATCAAACTATTGTTAACCTGAATATTATGTGCAAATCCACCTTCGTCACCAACATTAGTTGCATTCTGACCATATTTCTTCTTAATCACAGCCTAAAGAGAACAAAATAGTGAGAGAAAAAATGCCCACACAATTCCTTGCTGACTTGTCAAAAGACCAATCTAGAGTACTAAATCTTATAATATTATGATCCCAAGTACCCCAAACTATCCACCTTGTAACCGAAACGTAGTAGAAATCTCAATCTGGATTATAAATAGAATTTGAAATGAAACCAACCTCAAAGCCTATGGAAGACATAGCCAACCATTTGAGAAGTAAGGCAGATACTCAAAAAATTTATCATCAATTCCCGAGCACAATAAGGGACAGAGGACACCAACGAAACGTAATCCCTCATTATATATGTATCGTAGAAGAGAAGGATAATTAAGGACATACCTCCTTGAGAATTGTCATGCTCCTGCTTTTACTGAACACAACAAACATATGGTTTGAGGCAATGGGACTGAAGACCATATATTGTTATCAACTTGGGAGTGTAACCCACTATTGTTATCAAGCCAATTTGAAATAGAGCAACAATTGCCATATCCACAATTTCCTAATACAAACATAATGCTATTTGGTAACTAATAACTCTGGGGAGAATACTTGCAAATGCTAAGATTTAAACACTACGCAGCGGATAAGAGAGTGAATTTATTTGAAACTGAAAACAGGGGCATTGGGGCTAAATCAAGTTCTCCTCTTTCCTACTCAAACGAAACACTTAAATACCTACCAGTGAAATTGACGGCCCCAAACATAGGAAAGTGTGAGTAGATCTGAGAGGTTAAGATGAACTTACAGCGGCAACGGATTTGTTGTTTGGATGCTCCTTCTTGTACTTTCTCTGAAGTCCTCCCTATATATACCACAAATCAAAGTGAAAAAAAATCAGGAAATTAAGATTAAGAAAATTAAAACGAAGATCTTTCATATCTCAAACTTAAACCAAGAGAGAGAAAAAGAGTTGACCGTACATGAAAACGAAGAAGGCACTAGCAGGTCTCTTAGGCTTGTTTGGATCCTTTCCAGCTTTCTTCGCCGGCTTCTTGCTCGCTCCAGAACAGCACTCTTACTCTTCAACCTGAAAAATTCAATCACAAGCAAAATCTCAAAATTCATAAGCACAACAGAAATCAAGATCTCCTAGTAATGGCTGACAAATACCAGGTGCAGCATCTCAAAGACTTGTGCCAGAAGTTCTTGTTGTCCAACCTCAACTGGGACAATTCACTTTCAACCTACACCTTCGTGCATCAGCATAACGCCAAGCAGATCATCGACCTAGCCTTGACGTTGATCACGAGTCACGACAACATGGACAAGCTTACTACCCGGGAGGAGTACGCTGAGCTGAAGGAGAAAGATCCACGACTCGTATTCGAAATATACAAAGCCTGTAAAACCATTTGTTTCCTCTGATGTGGGATAATTTGCTTTCAAACTTTCAACAATATATCCTTCCTTCCTTACAAGCTCCCAACAAAGGCGAGTAGTCAGGTTCTCCATTTCCGTAAATAGATAAACAAGTAATCGAATATCTGTCAAAATCTACTAACAGTCAAAGGGCAACATTGTCCCTATTTATTTTTATACGAATGATATTGGAGCAAGCAAGGAACTTCAACATAGAAGAAGAAAAGAAAAGAATAGTGGCGGACTACTTCCAGACGAAGGAGTCCAAAAAAATGAAAGTCCAATGAAACTACGTACCATAATAAGGCAGGGGAGGCAGCACAACTGATCAATCGATGAAATTATATTTGCCTTAAAACTTCTTCTCTTGTTGTTATCTATCTTTGAGAACCCCAACCCAACATGAGGTGCATATCTTGCAATATGGCAGATACGACGTCGTCACCTGCAAGAAGTGCCACGAGGACCTCAAGGCCAAGGTCGCTTTTCTCACGACGTCCCAGCCGGATTCATTCTCCGACATCGTTCTGTTTGCCTCCGACGGCGGGTCTGCCCAGGCCGCTGTACCCATTCCGGCCCATAAGGCCGTTTTGGTCAGTACACATTTCGCCAACTTTCTACTCCATCGCTGATTTTTGTTCAAACATTTTGATAGCTTTACTTTTATTTTGTTTGTTTCACAATAACGATGGGGTCTTCTTTAGATCCGTTCCCAAAAGGTTTTATTTAGGTGTTTTCTTCTTTTGATCTAGACTCACTAGTATTCATATCTCATTTTTTATGTCCATTGCCCTTTGAAATAAATTTGGCAAGAAGCTGAAAATTCTGATTTTATGAATCTTTTACTACTAATTTAAAATTTGAATTTAAAACTCTGGATTGTCTTCATAATCCACCTACAACAAGAAAAAATTCGTCAAGAGAATAATTTACCTTTATTTGAGGTAAATACATACCAGACAACAATTTACCTAAATATGCAGAATTTTACCTGAAAATGGGATATAAATACAAAAAACAACTTATTTATATATGTGACATTACCTCTTATACAATGATCAAACTAAACACATCCAAATTTACTTACTAAAAATTTCATTACCTAACTAGTAGAAACCAAAAAACCAACCCATTTACCTAGATTGGAGGAATAATAAATACTTGCACACGATTGTATTTTATCACCTCCACAAGGTATCAAAACCACCATGTATTACCTATATACCTAAGATCATACTCCAAAAACAAAATTCTACCGCCCCAACTTGTAAACAAATGAAGACAACAACTTGCCAAATTCTAAGAGCAAACCAAACGAAAGACCCCCCTTTGAACACACCAACAATACCAAGTTTAAGTCTTCACACCAAATAACAGCCTTCTACGTAGGTACTTAAATGACCCTGGAAATTCTTTACCACCATAAACAACCATGAACACTATGAATAATCCCTCTCTCAAAAAGTTCCAACATACTATGAATGAACGTGGGGAGGAATTTTCTTTGCTTTGAGAACATGAACGTAGGGAAAGAATAGAAAAAGAAACAAATAAGAAAAAGCAAAAAGATACCGACTTGAGATATGCTAAAATCAAGGACAAGGTATAACCTTAAATGTGTCAATTATTAAGAAGTTCAACATAATAATTTTTGACCAAAATTTAGTTTGTTTCCCATTTTTATTCCTAGAGATCACATTAAATCATATAAGGGTTGATAAAAATAAAAAGTTGTATAGGGTAAAATAGGCATAAATGTTTTTGACAAATCCGAACCATAAATAGTAGTTGACTTATCATCTCAATATGGTAAGTTTGCTAGGGTGAATAAATAAGGGAGATTCACTATTATACCCAATATAGAGGCCCAAATTATAAAAATACCCTATATGAAATGGACTTTAGAAATACATCCAAAATCCATTTGCAACATAACAAAGAGGCTTTTAACTTCTTTTAAATTACAAAACTACCATCAATTTCTTAAAACAAGCCCAACCTCAAAACCTCATAAAAAAACTCAAAATACTCAATAGGATATCAAAGTAATTTAATAATCAAACTTAAATTTAATAGGGCCAACTGTCATTTTTTGGGTTTGTTTATAAAAATTCAATGATGTATGATTTATCTATATTATTAGTGCTAAAAATGGGTATATCACTAAATATCTCAATAAATAACCAATGGGTTTATATTGCAATATTATAACACGTGGGTTATTCCTAATAAACCTATTACTTTTGGGTTTATATCTAATTTTTTAATTTTCTATATTCTTTAAAGAGGGGAATCAAACTTAAGTACAAGGGAGGGCACATTGTAACTTGTCTGCAACTTTACTTTTACACCTCCGTATTTGCAAATCAAAATTTGACATGTAAAAACGTGTTTTTAACGGAGGAATGATTTATCAGTAAACGTGCATCTGGAGTATTTTATCTTTTATCTTTTTCATGAATTCAAGTATTTTAGTCAAATATATTGTGGTTTTACGTCTTCATTCCCAGACTAGCCGACAAAGTTAGCCAAAACTTAGCCAAATTTGACTTGAAAAATGCTTTGGTTCTCCAACAATTCTAGTCTTTTTTCTTTTCTTTTTTTTTTTTCTCTTTTTCCTTTAAATTTAAAATGTTTTTTTTTAGGGACCTTTGAATTTAAAAAAGATTTGGCCATACAGAAATTGTACTATTGGAATAATTTGGCTAGGTTCATTTTCTCTCCCCCGGTCAGCTACTAGTACTGTTCACAAAATTAATATGTTCCTGGGAGAATATTATTATTGCACACTTTGAATTCCTCTTAAATATTATGTATGTATTTTGACGGGCACTGGATCAGGTGAGCCGTTCTCCGGTGTTCAATGCCATGCTTGAGAATGAGATGGAAGAAAGCCTGAGTGGCACCATCAAGATCCGCGATGTGTCCTACGGCACCCTTCGTGCCTTTGTCGACTACCTCTACACAGCTGAGGTGGTATGCCTTGACCAGCAATTGGCCTGTGACCTCCTAGTAATGGCTGAAAAATACCAGGTGCACCATCTCAAAGATTTGTGCCAGAAGTTCTTGGTGGCCAACCTCAACTGGGAGAATTCTTTTTTGACCTACACCTTCGTGCACCAGCATAACGCCAAGAAGATCATCGACGCAGCCTTGACATTGATCATAGTCATAGACAACATGGACAAGCTTACTGCCCGGGAGGAGTACGCTGAGCTGAAGGAGAAAGATCCACAACTTGTATTCGAAATCTATGAAGCTTATCTCTCCAAGCAGGTTAATAAAGCAGCAGCACAGAAGGGTTCTTCGGCTTCGTATCCTCCCAAATATAATTGGAGAGGAACGCACATTGAAGATGATGGTGTTGTAAGTGACTATGAATCAGGTTCAGGATGATGAATGTTTGTTGTCACGACTGCATACGATGTGTGCAATTTTTCAGTTTTCGAAATCTATGAAGCTTCTCTCTCCAAACAGGCTGCAGCAGCGCAGAAGGGTTCTGCTTCTGCGGAGTTCAAGGTTAAAACTGCAGCAGTCGAGGTTCATTCCTCAGTTAATTGTGTTTATCCACATCCTATAAGATATTATCGGTTGCGTGAGGAATAAAGTGCAGTTTGATGCATTTCAAGTGATCTTCACAACCTTGTACGATGAAACCAAGCCATCTACTGCCTTCATCAAATCCAGTGGCCCGAATACCCTCTGCCATCCCCGCCACTGTTGCTGTTGCCATAGGTTTTCAAAGAGGGAAATGATTATGGGTTTTGGTTAAGCCTATTGAATGAAGGCCATCAAGCCTGTGTTGTGCGCAAATTTTAGGAACAAAGGTTACAAAAACAACACTTCATAATATCATGGTATTAGTGTTAAGTTATGCACATTTAACCATCCTATTGCTGTGCATTTGGATATACTAAGGAAAAAAATATAAAAAATGAAAAAAGAGATTGCACTAGCTAGTCTTCAAATTACAGAGCATAAAACAAGTGCAATATGTTAGTTGCAGTTGTAGTGCCTTCTTTTCTATGGTGCGATTTCATACCCTTTTACAGAAAAATACATTGACAAGTTTGCACCCAAATCAGATCACAAACGCTTGTCACCAATCAAGATCTTCCAGCTTGCATGAGGTCCTTCTCCTGTGTCATGCAGCGCAGGCACCCATCCAACAGCACTAGCAAGTTCCTGAAGCTCAGCAATTACAGATACAGAGTCACGTATGTAAACACGTCCGCCAGGCCTCAGCATTCGATCCATTTCAAGCACGATGGTTGAGATATTACACCTGTGCCCAACACAAACAGATCAGTAGGAAATCAATGTACTCTACATCACATGAAGTCTCACCTACAAATAGATAAAATAGGCTCAAACAACAGTGCAAATTTATACCTCTTTTGCTCAACAGAGAAAAGACCCGCTGCATGCAGTAAGTCGTATGTTCTTGGATAAGTGTCAAATGGCTCACACCTAAGGAACATAAATTTGAGCATCATGACAAAGTCCAACAGATTTAATAACACAGAGATGGCCAAAACAGAAATCAGGTGTATTGCCCAACCAGTCATGCATAACTCCAATAAGTCCGCGGTCATATATAACTGGCAAAGTATTGAACCCTGAAACAGGAACAACGTTCATAACCCAACAATCCAACCCATAATCTTGCAATGCTGCTGCAAACCTGCCAATATCAAAATGATTTCCATCTCTTTCTTTTGTGAGTTGAAATAACATTGAAAATAGGTAAAGATTTACGGTTTGTGTAGAATGAATTATTTGAAGATATACCCTCCATATCCAGCCCTCATGTCCATTATGTTTCTAAAGTTTAATTCTCTCCAATGGTAAGCACCAATGTAACCAGCTAATATTTCATGCCAGTACTTTGCCTCTGCCCTGAAGATTTCCTTTCTAGATATGTACGCATCTAACTTTATGCTCTGGAGTCTATCTGGTGGATCTTGAAGACGTGCGGGCCATGTGCTAACATTAGCTCCATAACCATTCTCAGGTAATCGAGTGATGCAAGCCTTTAAACCAACATACCTGCAAAAAAAAAAAAAGAAGTATTACTTAGGGTTACAGTGGTTATGATATATGTAAACTTTATTTCATACTCTGCATCTAGGTAGGCCTCATGATCTTGTGGTGAGATATCAAATTTGGATAGAGTATACCCAACAATGAGACTAGAAGAAGCATTATTACAATATTCTTGTTAAATTCTTCAGCTTGTGTATGTGCATGGAGGAGACCTCATATTCATAGTGTTAGCTTCAGATGTACAGCTCAATCAAGTTAGATAAATCATCATGTTTTGACATTTTTTTCCTCCAAAAGCTTTTTATACATGCCAAAAGCCTTTTGGTTCAAGCAAATTTAAATCAACTCTCTCTTAATGCCACAAGACACAAGGTTGCATTGCCCCTCAGGAAATATGCAAGATTATGGTCACCAAGTCAACAGGACAAGGGTCCAACAGAACAACATAGACAAACTATTGAAATGAAACCATAAAGTCAAAAGTTACACAGCTTATCAGATGGAATAGAAGACTGTTTTAAGAGTTTGACAATTAACACGGATTGATATTTGAAGAATGCTTCTAAACCAAGAAAACTTTAAAACTTTGAAGTAGGACTTACCAAACATCGTCTGGATCATCATTTGAATCACATAATGGAGGCTGCACTCCAGCATCGCGACTAAGATAACAGCTGGTGTTCAAAGGCTTCTGCCATATAGCAATATATCCTTCCTTCTTTACAAGCTCCCAACAAAGGCGAGTAGTCAGGTTCTCCATTTCTGTAAATAGATAAACAAGTATTAATTTGAGTGCTCCAACATCAAGAATATAACAATAATTTTTTGTTGCTGTCAAATATCAGAGAAGATGACACTAATGCTAATGTAAAAGAACGATACAGAAAATATCTGACCAAACTTTTCAAAGTGTAGAGAAAGATAAACAGGCTGTAAACCTACAATAAATATTGCATAATGAGCTACCTTTCCATTGTTCTTGTAGGGCTTCTTCATGTTTGTAAACGGGCTGTGCTGCCCAGACAAAGTATCCTCCTGCTCTTAGCAACCTGTCAGCCTCGAGAAGCAAAATTCCATCTTCATCACATAATCCAAAGAAAAAAAGGATTCTTAGAGTCAAAGAGCTTTTGACAACAAGTATCAAATGCATTACACATATGTAGGAATATGCCATAAAATGTCCAAAAGAGAAACGGATTACCATCACGGGTCCAATTAATTCTACATCTTGAACAATGGATCAAGTCAAAAGCCTGGCTTGGATACAACAAGCGGTGAGTAGCAAATACTGCCACCATGGCAGGCACACCACGCTCTAGTGCAAACTGGATCTGATTCTCATGAACATCTTTTGGTGCTATTGACATAGTGGTCACATTCCGTTGCATCAAAAAGGCACCAAAACTAGCAACTCCACAGCCAATATCTAAGGACACTCGGGTTTTGTAGCCAAATGCAATGTCAGGAACCATCTGCTCATTCCATGTAAGAGGCGGTAATCAATATCATGTAAAAACATGCAAATACTTTATGAGAATTGTGCAAGGGACAACCTGTGAAATCTGATTCAAGTACTGGTCTGCCCCATGAATAAACTGTGTTCCACCTCCTGGAAAAATGAATTTATCTTTCTTTACCCTTATCCAATTCTGACCACCTTTATCGTCAACAAGTCGAGTGTGGGGTACATTACTGAACCACACCTGTTATCATATCTATTGTTAGCACAAAAGAACACTCATTCTTTCTCAAACCAGGTGAAACAGTAATATGCTATACATTAAGAGCTACAGAAGGAAAGATCTTTTTTAGGAAGGAGTTTTCAGTAGTGACCCAGAAACCTGCTCTACAAAGGGAGGTTACCAATTGTTACCAGTTTATGTAACATTGAAAGCAACTGTGGATATACAGCTTCAGAAAAGAGATTGTCATGAATGAAAAAAAACCAACAAAAAAAGAAAGAAATCAGAACTATTGGTTCATTACTTCTCATCTTTTTACATTCTAAAAACAAGGGACCAACTTCTGCCAATCCTACAGCTTAAAGTTAAGAGAAGGCGAACAGCATATTGCCATCATCACTTTTCAAAGTCTTCCATCTAAATTTCAAAACCATTCCCAACGAAAATTCCGTCTCCATCCACATTTTTACAAGATGAGTGCAAGACTTGAACTCTACACTAACAATGACACCACTTCACTTGTCCCATGTCCTGATATGCCTAAGCTAGCTCTTTACCATTGAAATTTAATAGTTGATATCAATTACTGAACTTTCACTTACATAACAAAATTCAATGTATCAGGAACAGCAACACTCAAACCAATTCAAATAAAGCAAACAACTTTACCAAAAACAGAAATCAAAGTTCACACATTTCAATCCAAATTACCTCGTCCCTGCTCTGAGGCCAGTGTATTCGTATCTGGTACCCTTTCGGCCTCGGCACCACGCAATTCAAGCCCTTGCCTTGCCCAGGACAATGCCTCTCGTACTTTTCCCCTCTCTCACTCGAATTTAACTTCTCAATCTCCTCCACATTATCCAAACACGGTATATAATCAGTCATGCTTTCATCACACACCTTAAACTTATCAACCTTGACTCTAGCGCCGCCACCGTCGTCCAATCTCTCATCTCCTCCACTGACATTCCTCAAATCCTCGACCAGGCTCGGGTCGAACTCACCGATCTCGAACTCCTCCGACATCGCCCCGTTCTCGTCCAGTATCCCCATCCTCTCGAACTCCGGCGGCGGTGGAGGCGGCGATGGCGGAGGAGGAGATGGAGCTGCCAGAGGCGTTGGCGGGGGCAACTCCGGCGAAGACGAGGCGAGAGATGGAGACGGCGCGGAGGTTGTTGTGGTGGTGGAGGAGAAGAAGGTTAGGGAAGGATAGGTAGCAGAGTAGTGGTTGGCGAGTAGGAAGAGGGAGAGGGAGAGGAGGGTAATGGCCGCAATTTTGATGAAAGTCGGGGTCTTTAGAATGTCGGTGGCGGTGGCCGCGAGGGCCTTCATGATGGATGATTGAGATTTTCTCGGGAAAGTGGCGGAGAGAAAATTAAATAGCAAAGCAGAGTTGAGTGAGGCTGGCGGGCGGTGGAGAAGTAAACGGAATTTCTATAAAATTAATAATAATTATTATTAATTAAATGGAAAATGAAAGTGAGTTTGTGAGCAATTGCGATCCGAAGAGCTCCGTGAACGCTAAGACGTAATAAAAACGCTGGGTTATTTTTTCTTAAACTTAAATTAATGGTTCCATTTATGGAAACTTCGACAATGTACACACCCAGATTGGGAAGTGTTAGGGTACAGCTCACCAACATTACGGTTGATACAATGTTAAAGTCATTCACTTTGTCTCTCTCCTTGGACTATATGTCTATACTTTTCCTTTTTGGTCTTTGCTGGTGGTGGTGGGGTTTAAGGTTAAGTGCCCTTTCCTTTTGTACTTGTATTAACTAATTTTGTCTTGGTTTGCATTCATTCCCATTTACATGAAAAAATCATGTTTGAGAATCTAAACTATTATATTAGGTAATTAGCTTAATCATTGATTAGACTAATGTCATCAAAACTTGTTTGTAGTTTACTAGCAACAAAAAGAAAAGTTATCATTTGAGATAACGTAAATTTAATCATGCTCGACTAATATTTCTTATATCGTATCCATATGATTTAAAAATTAAACTAAACATGGACGATTTCGAGTTGAGCCAAGTCAATTGCATATTTATGGTTAAAACAGCACTCAAGAAATCATGATATATAGCTTTTTCAGCAAATGAGTGTCGTTATCAGATTGTTTGTTTGTTTGTCAGCACTCAAAGCTTCAGCTAATTATGTAACCCCAAAAAAAACTTCAGCTAATTAGAGATAAAAATTTGCTTTACCAGTTGGGTTGGGATTGGGAAGAATGCAATCTAAGGCCAGCTAAATAGAGTAAGGCAGAACAGAACAAAGCCAATAAATATTTTGGCCCAGTTTCATAAACCCAATGTCAAAAATTGCCAGCACCAGTGGGAAATCTATTTTCGATGGTACCACCACTTGCAGCAGCTACAATTAATTTTTCACTAATCAAAGTTACTACAATTGTACACTTCAATGCCGATATGATTATAAATTCAATGATTAGAATACTTATCTCACACGCACGACGATTTTTATTTTTATTTTCGCCATAATAGTTTTTTTTTAAACACACAAATTTAGAGGCGGAGCTTGATGAAAGGCTGGCTCAAGACTCTAGCCTAGTACAAATTTTTTATATCTGAAATTAACTTGGATTTCTGAAATTATCATTCAATCCAATCCAAAATCTAATTAAAATTGGGTTGCATTGATTTATTTGGTCTGTTTGGTCGATTTTGAATTGATTTTGAACTCCCCTAGTAGCTGAGATTATTTTTGCTCAACACTTTAACCCAAGATATATGCTCGCTACCCTTCTCAACACTTGACATGTGTCCATTAGCATAACTATGATTACATAAATCAAAATAAAAAATTAACCATGGTTATGTCTATAGACAGGGGTCAAGTATTAAAAAAGGTGGTGAGTATACACCTTAAGTTGAAATGGTGAGCAAAAATATTTCTCTAACCACTAGCTCTTGTGTAGCTATTTCAAGATCCATTCCAATTGCCAGCAACGAAAGTACATTGCATTTTCTATAGCTTGATTGACGCTAACTTTTCGTGATTGGAAACATTTGGTTGACTTGTATACAATCCTCTTATGATCATCATTATTGAAATGTCCAAGTATCCGTACGAAACAAGAAAAGGTATATGCATTAATGGGAATGCCTTCAAAGAGTAATGAGAGCCAACCCTTTTCTGATTTCTATGGGCTTTATAAGAAAAATTAATCATTCATAATTAAACTATGATTATGGCTGAGTTGGTATATGTACTAGCCTAGCAGCCATGTAACCATGTTGCACCTTTTTAAAAGGTTTTGGGACTTTTGAGTTTGAGCAAGGGAAATTAAAGAACAAACGTGAAACACAACTAGATTATACAATCTGTAATCAGTGAGTTTGGATTCACCTTAATCATGTTTTAAGTCGATCCGTCGTCTAATCTAAATATAATCATAAGTGGTGCTCAACCCATTTAATCAATGTAGCATTTTAACTCATATGTAATTTATTATATGTTAAAACGATCATGACATGTTTAAAAACAATATTATTGTTATTTATTTTGACCTTTTAGGTTATCAAGCACCTAAATCGATCATATGTCTGCTAATTAGGTAAACTAGGCTACAAACATTCTCGTACATATGAAGCAAAATCTTTCTATATAATTATGTACTCTATCTCTTATGATGAGAGAGATAGACAAATAATTATTTACAACTTGTAAATTTTCTAATCGTTGATAAGTAATTGTTGAACCCAAACATCATATGATTTTTGTCGTGCTATTTGGTTAATAATACTTTTTCTAACGTTGTTTTGTAGTTAGGTCCTCAACATGTTATTGGACCATAGATGAGCAGTTCAACTTCGCAGCAACCACAAAAGGTCAAACCGTACAAGTGTTACCATGTAGTCAATGGGACCAAAATGGTACCACCCTATGACCGACTTATTGGTGGTTGTTAAAAACACTGGTTTTAATGGATTAATTAAGATTAGAAAATTTTACTTCAACCCAAAGACCTTTGAAATATAGCTTTGAAGACATCTGAAAGCTGAGATTGATAGGTATAATTGTCAAAGTAAGTGCTTCCCTTTATAAGCTGAACTTTCCCAGAAAATCTTGCCTTTGGACTGTGGAATTCTAGCATTAGATTTTTTATAGAGATATTTAGTCAAATACCCATTCTTAGCACTAAAACTATAAATAAACCCTACACAATTTAATTTTTATAACCAAACCCAAAAAAAACCCAAAAAATGACAATTGGCCATATTGAATTTAATTTTGATTATTAAATTACTTTGATGTCCTATTGAGTATTTTGGGCTTGTTTATATGTTTTGGGGTTGGGTTTGTTTTGAGAAATCAATGGCAGTTTTGTAATTTAAAAGAAGTTAAAAGCCTTTTTGTTATGTTATAAATGGATTTTGGGTGTGTTTCTAAAGTCCATTTCATATAGGGTATTTTTATAATTTGGGCTCCTATATTGGGTATATTAGTGAATCTCCCTTTTTTATATGCTCCATCCTAGTAATTGTCACATTTACTACATTTTGAGGTGGAAAAAGTGAGGCATAAGAGGTCAATAAAAATTATAAGATTTTATTAATTTGTTTCTTATATATGGAATGCATTCACTTAAAAACTTCTTATGTAAGCTCAACACATTGAAACAACTCTCATGCATGTTATATATAAAACTTTTATTCAAAGTTATATTACATATGGCGAAGAAAAATGCTATATGAAACAGTCACTTATACATACTTATGCGTGAGTAAGCCAGTCGTTGTTAATATGCAAGTAGATTTGACAATGCATTAGTCATAAGCATTCATTTGCGTGCATGATAATTGCAAGAAACACAGGTACATGTATATTGTCAAATATGCCGATCGAGAGGGAAACCCTCAAGGAAGTTCATTCCAATTTAGAATAATATACAATGCTAACTTTTGGATTTGGATTTTTCTGGAAGTTGCTCGAATTTTCCATGCGATTGAAAAATATATAATGATGTAATGTAACCCAAACCACTCCATGCCCCAAAAATAAAATAAAGTACAGCTAAAATGGTAGGTAATTCGGTTCCATCATGGTGCACGCACATACAAATGAAGAGTGGTAAACGACAATTTTAACGATAATATTATTGTATCTCCATGGAATTGTTGCGATGCTAGGAGCCTAGTAAGTACCATATCACTTATATATACGATTAAAATTTTAAAAATCAACACCATATATATTCACGTTGAGAATAACGTGATTCCTACATTATTCAATTATGAGAAATTAAATTAATATGTTTATGTATGGTATGTCTAATGTAATACCTAACTAGCGGATTCCGAACCTCTACATTTACAACATACACATTTTTTGGTATTTCACAGCATCTAAAGTATCCATAGTTAATTTGGCCAATCTACAAACATTGAATTACTTACTTCAGATATTGTGAAATGCACAAAAATAATAAGTACTCTTTCTCAGAACAAGTGCAAAAATCTGTCTCCCCCTTACACATATCTTACCCGAGGAAATTCTCACGATAGATAAATATTTACGTTGTTAGACTATAAATCTAGACCACACACTTAATCAAGAATCAGTCTGATTGATAGTTCAAACCTCCGGTTGGATAATATAAACCGATATATATAATATCTGTTACCTCTCATATCCAGGACACTAACATTTATCATTACACAAAAATATATTCTGCAGAAAAGTATTGAAGTTGCAGATCCTTGCACGCAAAATTCAAATAATTATGCAATAATTAATTAAGAGATGGTATTTTGAAACATCATGTTTTTGAATTCCTGAAAATCAAGCAGGCCATCCAAGTTGGTGTCGTACACGTGAATCATGGTCCTGCAGTCACGACTGCTATTCTCCTCCAAAACTCCTAATCTCCTCAGCACGCTCTCCAGCTCCTCACAGGAAATGAAGCCATCGCCATTCAAATCAAACACACTGAATGCCTTCACAAGGTCACTCTCATCTTCATCAGGGCCAACCTCCTCATGAATGTTACCGTCTTCATGGCGATTGTCGTCACTCTTGTTATTTTGCTGCATGGATATGGACTTGTAGAAGAACAAGAATTCATTGAAGTCGAGGCTCGGTTTCCCCACCAAGGACTCGAGCTCGTGCAGGCTGAACTGCATGCCAATCCTCTCGAGGAGCCAGCTGAGCTCCTCGAGACTCAGTTGCCCGTCACCATTCCTGTCGAGCTTCTCGAAAATTCGAAGCAAGTCGTTGGTGCTAAGAGGACACATGTAGACCACTGTTGTCATGCAAAAATAAGAGTTGTAGAATGAAGGAACAAATGAAAGAAAGAATGAGTGAATGTTGTATGAAATAGTAGCTAGGTTGAGGTTGTAAGTGGTTAGAGGGGTTGGCATGGTCTTATATAAATAAGGTCGACTTGGAATATTAGAGGTTGTGTCTGTTTGTACTTGGCTTGTACGGGTGTTTATACAAATGAGTGCTAAAATAAAATCTCTTGTGTATGTGGCTGAGAATGGTCGAGGAACTTGGCATGAAGCTTCGTGGTTGGGGTACCTGGTAATGATATTCCATTGCTTGTTAATTTTAAATTATTCCAACAAGTGGAATTGTCTCATCTCGATTAAAGGTTCTTTTCGTCTTCATATTTGGGCTTCCAGAAGACGGTATCAAAATCCAGAAACCCAGAAACCCAGAAAAAAAAAATTATTAGAAGTTACTAGAGGTGTGTATTTAATGAGTGAATCTCAAATATTTGATCTTAGATTTGATTCCCCTTTTCTTAGTATCGTTTGTATAGAAAGAAAAAAAGAAATTTAACAAAAAAAACCATCTCATTCCACATACTCTACCATTAGAGCTGAAAAAATCATTGGGGGTCCCGGAGATCTATTTTGTATTTGTTTGTTTTGTGAACAAGAAATGCGAGGGGAATCTGTGGTTGAAAATAAACAAATAAAATTGGAACTATCTCGTGGCTGCTCGTGCTATTTTCCAAAATTATTTTATTCCTTATTTGGTAGTCTTTGTTTTGGTCGAAGTAGTACCACGCATAAGATAATAGGACAAGGGTTATCTTGCTCTTTGGCGTCATTGAGGAGACACGTGGCTATTGGTAGATGCGAGAGGTGAGGTGAGGTCAATAATTGAAAGCACACGTGGCTATTGGTTATTTAGTCTTCTCGATGCACAAAGAGAGAGAAATCGACATGAAACAGACACGTTAATAATTTTCAACTATCGTCAGAGAAACGGTGCATGTCAAAGTCAGTGAACAAAGTTTATGACAATACTTTCTTTCTTTATGTTCATCGGCTTGGCACTCGAGAAATGTCAAAGTATAATTTTTCGCCTGTTTTCTTTTCCTTTTGCTTTCGTTGAGACGTGACCCAATTGAAGTTTTTTCTCTGTTATTTACTCTTGGGTCTAAAATCACGACCCAATTGATAGTAGGGTTATGATATGTACATTTACCTCCAACGGGGAAATCATGAATTCGGAAACTTAATAGAGAGACTTAACTTTGTAACCCATTTTCTTACAGGCACTAGTCATGAATGACCCTTCGTTTTAAACCCAACACCGCTTCCTCTCAAATTCCAAACTCGAGGAATAATTTGTGCATATCTCTCTCGTTACATAATTAATCATCTCATAAAAGACCTTCTCATCAAGTTTTCTTCTTTGATATATTGGGGTGGCATGACATAATTGAGCTACCGTCCATAACCGCCCAAAGAAATAATAAAGTTGAATGAGAAACTACCGACTGATTTAAATAATTTTGTATATAAAATGCCAAATAAATAAATAGAAGTCATCAGCAAACATGAGTTGAGTAAAGGTTCAGGATTAGATCTTCAATATAATGATTCCATTTCATTTCGTAAGGGGAAAAAAAAGGTAGAAAATTTCTAGAACGGCACGAGGAGGGAAGCATGGAATTCAAAAATGAGAATCACGTAACGAATACAAAAAATAATTGAACTCTTGCAAGCCACACATTGAAAGAAGGAATCAATATATGTGGTCCTACTACGGACATAAAAGAATATTGCAAGAAATGCCATCATTTAATTTATTCTGTCTCACGTCAACGGAGTCTAGTCCAGTGGAAAATTGTCTTAACTTCCAGATAAGAAGTCTCAGGTTCGAACCCCCATGACATCTAGTTGTGTGTGTGTGATAACTCCCCCTCCTCTTTAATTTAGACTATCGCTTGTACTAAAATATATATATATTTATTCTGTCTCATAGAAAGAAAAAAAAAAAAAAAAAAAAACAGAGAAAAAACTAATCAAATTTAGAAAAACCATACCAAATTTTCATCTGACAGCCAAACTAATTATTTGTAGAAAAATATATTGCATTTCAATTTGGTAATGACAAATTACAAAGGGAAAAGGAAATAAACAAAAATAAAAATAAAAAATAAAAATTCAGGCTATGAAGAAGTATCACCTTCAAGGCTTCAAGGCTCTCCATGCCATGATCACAATAACACTAGTTTAGTTCTTCTCCAGCTGTTCAATCTTGTTGATTCTGAAACCCCTTATCCTCAGTTCCTCAGGTACCGAAGTATCTTTGTAATCGACAGGTTCGAGGACCCAGCCCTTGTTCTGAACTGAACCTTCCACTTTTACCTGTTAAAAGGTGACATTATATAAACATACAAAACCATACGCTTTAATTACAGAGAGACTTCCTTCTTTTTAATTATAATGCCTCTGTTATATTGAAAACATAAATCCACAGGATAAGTAATGCTGCAAAACGGGAAAATATGCGAGTTGATTTAGACACCAAGGAAATTCAGAGGATACGAAGATAGCCTGACACTTATGTTTTTGGGCCCTCACAAATTTGAGTTGCAGGAAGCATTTGTGAAGAGCATAATACATGGTAACTCTTACAATATGCGAAAATTTAGCACAGGCTAGGGGATTTGCTAATGCTGATGATATTTTAGCTTATTCTGATTACATACGTGGAACTTGTGCATGTTTATCTGTAGTTAGGAAGTAATATTTATTTATTCTAAAAATAAAAACTAAAGTCTGTCATATTGACCAATCCGTGCAAATTTGTAACTTTGAAATCAAATTTTAGATTCTTCACATACCTCTGCATCATCAGCAGGATCAATAATAAGAGCCCCGTCCAAGGAGAGATCGTTTATAAAGACGTTGCGACCCTTAATAACCAATGTGGATCTCTGAGAAATTGAGCAACTTCCACTGACTTTGCTTTTTACGCCTGTAAAAGTGATAGCCCATTTTGGTTTCCATGTGATACGAGGCCACAATTCTACTTCTTGGCCGTTGAACACCTGTTGTTCTGGATCAGCAACTTGGACTCCGGCCTGAAAGACATAAAAGTGAAACCCAAATTCAAACTCTGAGAGAGAATCACTGAATTCACTGTAGATCTGTGGTTTAGATCATGTTACTAGTTCTATTGAGGCACTGATGGTTTTCTACAGCAACTGAACATTTCTTATGCATGCATGTAGACCAACATTTATTAAAACCACATATGCATCGCTACATGTAGAATGCAAGACTACCCAAATAAATGGAAACACAAACAGCCCTAAAGTGTCCCTAGGTCATGGTTCAATTGGGGAGGCTCTTCTCTTGTTGGGTTGTTGTGAAGCACAGGTTGGATACCTAACTTCTGATTTGATAGTGGTATTATTCTGTAAAGTGATTACAATCATATACTGAGGATGATAGTCCGGTAATCAGAATAGCAGCTCCCCTGGGCTTCCTCATCTAGAAGCCGTGGGGAAGAAGACCAAATTGATTCTTGTAAAGAGCTAATGCACCATCCTCCAACTATTCCAGAAAAGGTATGGCATGCTAATATTCCGGGAACATGTGGGTGTGGCGTAACAATAAAAGAAACCTAAGCATCATGATGTCAAAATACTATTCTTACTACTATTTACCTTTCTGAGAATGAGGCTGTTTGCACGATAAACTAACATTTCTCCAGAAGTTGCACTATGATATGGATTTCCCTTTGGTACCTTCAGTTAGATTCAAGCATATAATTAGAAATAAAATCAAACTGGCAACCCCAAACACCAACCTGCTATGGTAAAAGGCGGATTCAGCAGCAGAGTTCTTAATTCTTTCTTAACATGGATTCTCAGAAATTTGGTTGAGCATGTAAAACAGCATAAAAAGAATCTCTGGAAACAGGGCACTTAATTTCCATACCTTAGCAGCATCCTCAGGGTTGTTCTTCACAGGTGCATAAGCAAGCCATGGTTCCATTACTGTGAATCCCACCCTAGCAGTTGGAGGTAAAGTTTTTGGATAGTCTTGCATCATACACTCTAACCGAGTCGAGGACTTAAATGAAGTCTTGCTAGCATCTTTGTATCTGCAGCAACATCAGAAATATTAGATAGGATGATCTATAGTGGAAAGCAAAGGATTGCAGAATAAGAGAAATGAAGAATATATCATATATGTCAAGATTTGGAGGAAAAAGGTATTTCGTTCTGAATTCTAGAGCAACAGTTCCAACCTGATATAATGCTGAATCTAACTTCTTTATAATGCCTTATCATCCAAAATCAGTAGGAGGTCCTACTTGCAAATTAATAATTTTACTTTATTATCTAGGGAAAAGATTTGAAGTACCCACACTGACATTTTATACTAGCGTGATTTTAATGACTTTGAGAAAGAAAAAGAACAAACAGCTAAAAGAACCATTTTCAAATGTAAATGCAACTCCTAATGTCTTCAAAACTTGATTTATGCACGAAATTAACAAAATACAATAGAAGCACAGCAGCAGAAATATGGGAAGTTCTAATCAAGCGGAGATTTACTTTGGGTTTACAAACTCCTTTATGGAACCTCCTGTTTTTGTGAGCTCCTCAATGTATGGACCAAGTTCCAAAATTAACTGCAAATGAAAAAAAAAAGTTAATGTTTTTAATGTTTTGAAATAAATTTGGTCACTATCAATGATATCAATTGTGATGATATCTAAAGATATGTCAACGAATTCCAGGAAGTTTTAACATAAATGCACATTTCTATCAGAAACATAATTTATATATAGATGCCTCTCTCTGAACTAATAGCAGGAATTTTGATAAAACTAGTGATGGTTAGAAAGCATAACTTTTTTTCTGGAAGGGGGACTGGGGTGGAGAGAGAGAGAGAGAGAGAGAGAGAGAGAGAGAGAAATGAAAATCTGGCCAGAAGATTACTTGGTTGATATTCCCAGGGAATGGAGAATAGCCAGTCTCAGAATTGGCATCACCGTCTGGATACCCAGTTGCTCTAAGCAGTGGATCAAGCTGGTTGTACTCCACATTGATCACCATCGTCCTCCCTGAAATAAGTTTTGCAGATGAAGACATATGTGATAACTACATAACCTTTTACACCAAAGACATTTAAGCATAATTGTAAAATAGTTAGATACCATGGTTTAGACACAAATTCAGGGGACACTGAGACTAAAGTTTTAGAAAGCAGCGTAGATTGGAGATATATAAAAATTCCATACCGACATACATATATACATCTGCCAAATTCATCTACATTCTACAGAAGGAAATATTAAGTACAAGTAGCAAACACCTTAATATCTATAGTAATCTTTTTCCTCCTAATTTAAAAGATACAAATGTTCAAGAAAAGTGCCATAATAAGCAACTGTCTCATGAGTAGTGAAACCAAGGGCTAGTTTTCTCTATAGGTAGAACTAAATTAAGAAGTTTCAAATATAAATCCCAAAGATGTAATTGGCATTCATTTTCACAGCCAGACATCAGATGAACTTTCAAAACAAAGAAAAAGAGTGGCAAAAACAAGTTAGCAATTCAAATCCTATAACTGTGAAGATTATCAAAATATATCTTATAACTTATAAGGAAAAGGAATTGTGTTATATACCATCAGCATGAGTAAGTCGGGTAATTCCTCCAATTGCATCTTTTGCTTTCCGTGGCACAGCTAGGGAGTTAACATGGTATTGTCTGGTAAAACTGACACCCAATGCCGCTGGGATTCCCTACAAATTAGGAAATATAATAAGATAGGGTTCTGATTATACATCCAACCACAACCCCTCAAATGGCTAGAAAGAATTAGAGGAAAGCATTAAAGCAACTTACATTGAATAGAAGTCCATTAGTATCTTGGAAGAACAGAACCCATCTCAAACCAGCCTCACGCCTGTAAAATGATAAATATTCACATATCATGGTATCATATTAGTGTCATACACGCACAACCTATCTACTGCTGCAAATTTCTAACAGGTAACTTCAGCCTTCAGACTTTAGCAGCAAATTAGAAATAAAGCTAGATTGTAAATGCAATTTAGCATTATCTTTAATCTTTATCTCATTATGCAGTCATCAGTCACAGAATAATTAGTAGCTTTAAATGTACTAAGGACCAGCAAAGTTGTGAGAGATTTAACCACACTATTCATCAAACTTTGAGCACACACAGAAGACCAATTGACATCTGTCTTTTGATTTTTAGAATCTAGGAGACCAAAATCAGAAATTACAATAATAAATATTAAATAAAATCATAGGGTGGCAGTTGTGCGCATTCCATAATGATAAATAATGACATACCAAATATTTAGAAGGCCGCTAGAGTAGAGTAGTGAATGCACATCACCATGCCCGTGAGGTTTGGTCTACCAAAAAGAGAAACAGAAGAGGAAACAGACAAATTGAATACTTAGGGAAAAGGAAATAACAAAGTTCTTCAAAGCCTTAGTCACTGAAATATAATGATTAGTTACATGTATGAGTAACTGTTACCTGAATCCTGTACTTGTTACGTGGGTCCACTGCAAGCCTGGCATCATTATCATCTAAGCATGCTACTTTTTCCTGTAACATTCTAGAGAATTCATATAACATCTAGAATGAGCTTTCTTCAACAACTCAGTAATGACCACATGTACCTGCTTTAGAAGTTTGACTTGAGTAGGTTCCATTCCGAAATAAGAATTTGACTCTAAAAGCTCTAGTGTACGAGAATGTGTATCATCCGATGTCATTATAACCAGAGGAATTTTTGTTTGGGATTCACCTACAGATTCGAAAAGAAACATTGATATGATTGAAAAGATAAGAAAATTTAACACAACAATTGCCTTCACAATAATTAACTGCCTTTCCTAAATAAAACCCAACCACTTAGAAACCTATGCCACATCAAATAATTAATCTCACCATGTATCTGGCATGGTTTTATGTGCTTCTGGTGCAAAATAAGAGAGTAAGAATTAAATAATAATAATAATCTAAGCATGCTGAGATTGGTCCCACATCAGCATTAAGTGCTAGTGTTGGACATGAAAAAAAAAGAAGAACAAATCTGCAGAGGGAACTTTTGCTCTTTCCTCACGTCACAAATAGAGAAAAAGTTATATGTGAAACTTGGATGGGTTCCACATAATGGTACCATGTTCTCTTCTATGCCGACTGGCACCTCATCATCTCCTATGCGTGATAAATCCAAGAGGAAACTTCCCCTATCATTATCTTTCTAATATTTCATCTTTGTTTCTTTCTCATTTTTCATTTTTCTTAGATGATCTAGTATTTAGGGGTCATGGTCAAACACTGTAACAGTCCCGTGTTACAAAGCACACGCACACAAATGGAGTGTTTAACGCAAAGGACTAAAGTTTAACTTTAGAACCCTGTATCACTGGTTCCAGAATGCTGCTCTCATACCAGCTCGAGGTGGACGTTTGCTTTTGAAGATCTTGTATTTCATATTCATGAGACACTATAAAGTAGAAATGGGGAAAGAGCATCTCAACATTAAAGGTAGCACTAGCATCCTACAAAATTTAACCACATACTATGTGATACTGAGCTGGTGACAAACCTGGTGGTGCAAGTTTAGAGTTAGCATCTTGAAGAGCCAGAATTGATTCAATATAATACTGTAAAAAGCATGTTCCTGTTGTGGTTTCTCTTGGAAGAGCCAACTGCAAAACGTAAACAATAGGTTACACATGTTGGCACTAGTTTAATCAATATGTGGCAATAAGTAATCAGCCCCATTAGTACTTTGGCATTTTTTGTATCAACAAGAAGATGTGTTTTCACATCAAGCCACTTGCATTTATCTAACCCAGTAAGATTAATTGCAAGCTAATTTATTAAATGAAAACCTGATATAATCACAGGAGATGTTCAAGTTTACCCACAAGGCCAACAATGCTTCATGTCATGGGAATGTTTGGTCAAGAAATATGTCCATAAGTTTAATTTAGTACACCTCAAGAATGCCAACAATAGATCAGAAATACTACATTGAGGACTGAATAAAGTGCAAATGCATCAGTGAAATGCTTAAAAACATGAGCAAATGATTTGAAAATCAAATCTGAGCCCTGACCATGCTCAATGAAGGCTAGAGCCTGCTTGACTAAGAAGATATTTGGTTCAGAAGGAAGATGCTACATGGCAAAGATGCAAATCAAGAAGAAGACACTTGAGGCTAGAGAGGAGTAAAAAAAAAACCAATAAGGAGAGTACGGATAAAGCCATCAGAAATAATTGGTATAAAAATCATTGTAAGTTGTCTTGAGAGATGCAATGCGCTTGAAAGTATTAAAATTGACAGAAAACTGAGTGACCATAATTGACAGTGAATTAGAAACCTTAATCCCATTGTATCCCAGACGTTCCCCAAGCCCACCGGCAACAAGAACAAATGCAGCTTTCCGAGCTTCTTTAACACCTGCCTCCTCAAAACTGATAAAGCTGTCATCACCAAAAGTCAATGTTTCACCTGTTGGAACCTGAAATGTCATTGCTCAAGTATCACTCTATCACGTTTCATGTTGTCGACCAGAAGTCATTTAATAACCAATGTTCTATAAACAATATTAATAGCACTGCGACATCAAATGAAATCATATGGATCAATGGTTTTATACCAGTTATCCAGAATCATCAACTTTATCCAATGTATATAATATTTAAATATATGAGACCTATGTACACTTACAGAAGGTGTGAAGCCGTCAAATGGGTTCTTTCCATCTTTTGAATCGGCTAAGAGTTCTCTAGCAGTTTTGATATATGATGCCAAACCCCCTGGATAGCTTGAATTAAGCCGAGTCACCTGTAGTGAATTTCAATCAGAAGACAATTGAAAATATAAAATAAAATAGTATCGGAACCCACCAGCAAAACAACATTTTCCAGAAACACTGCCTTTTAAGGCAATGGTGTTATCTTGCATGTTTAATTACAATGTTTAAATCATGAATAAATTCTGGTTTTTGAATTTTTTATAAAACCAACTTTGTTCCAAAGCATATCATGTATATGATTTAACATTTTTCATTCCTCTATCTTCATTGCTCAATTGAGTTGAAATGGACGCTATATGAAAGAAACGGTGATTACACAGAGAGTATCGAACTGTAACTTAGATCCAACGCCTCCAATTTTGCAAAACAAAATTCAATTTCAGATCCGGGGGGAAAAAACAAAAAAAAAAAGGTAATCTTTTACGCAAATAGAGACAAAAAAAAAACACCAAACCTGATCCAAAAAAGCTTTCTTTTCCTCATCATCATCACCAGGCTCCGCCCAATGCTCAAACAAATGACTCTGTCCCGTTTCCAACAGGATCTTCGCCAACTCAATCTACAACTCACCAACAATCCCACTCAAAATCACTCCAAAAAAAAAACGCAATCAAAATTGTTCACAAAAACAATAATCCCATACGTACCTGTTCGGCGGTCAGAAGGTGGAGATTCTTCTGAAGATTCGGAGGGGAAGCGTCGATGCCGAGGTTCGATAGCTTCTCGGTGGCGGCATCGAGTGCGGAAGCCATTGTTTCTGTGGCTAAGAGCGAAGAAGCTACGCAGTAATGGAAGTCCTTGTTGTGTTCGACGAAAGTCCGAGTAGAGCGCGAAACTGATGAGTTGCGTGCGGAATTGTGGTGGAAGTGGAGGGAGTGGCTTGCACAGAAACGGTGTGTATTTGTATTGTATGGATGGTTTTTTTTCTTTTTGGGTTTTAATATTATATATAGGCGGTAAATTGGTGCTGGTCACGAAATGTTAGTTATTTGGGCCCACTGTTTGCGTGCCTCTCTTTGTAATCTCCGTGACGTGGGCGTTTATTTCACGCCGTCGTTCTCGTCCTTCGAATTAATTCGGAAATTCCGATTGGTTTTGGTGCTTGCAACAATACGGTGCCGTATAAAGGCAAATAAGCCAAGTATTTGTTTATCAAATTGTTTGTCCTCTTTATTTTTTCGGAGTAGGGGAGATTTGAACTCGAAATATAATCCAACAATAAGAATAGAAATACCTCATAGACCAAAGTGTTAGTTAATAATTTGTTTTATATTTTTGAATTTCTCTTTGTACAAATATATCTAGTGATCTACAAATCTTATATCTTATTATAAAACTACGATCCTATTAAAAATGTACATAATTTTACTTATTTGAGCCATATAATATTGGTTTTTATAAATTACAACACATTTGTATGACGAGTGTATAAATTTATTTTTATAGACTATATATAATATTGGTTTAATGATAATGTTTTTTTCAAATTATATTTTTTTGGAAAAAGACAAAAAAAAAAAAAAGGGCACTTTCAAGCGAAGCAGATGAGTGGACCAAGAATTCGGATACCAAACATTGAAGGTTGAAGATGAGTTAGAAACATGCAAAGCATGAAAAGGTTGAAGATGGTCAATCGTTGTCTTTGTTTGTTGGTAAACCTACTTTACATTTGTCTAAACTTACGATGAACATATGCTATAAAGCATATCCTCCTCACCTAAGAATATTTTCAGTTACCCATAAAAGATAATAAATAAAAGGAAGAAATTATATCCCGTTCTCCTTTTCCCAACTTACCACATATCATTAATCCAATAAGTATTTGGTACTAATTTAGTTCAAACATGAAATCACTAGTCTACAAGTAATTAATCCTTTCTATTTGGCTAGACTCTGTTGGTAATCATACTTATTAAATGTATTATTATTTTTTTGGTATTTTAAAGCAATCATCTTTAAACCCTAGCCCCCTCTCCCAAAAAATACTTATAGAGCCGTTTTCACTTTGAGGGGGGAGGAAGCCACTGTTCTTCCTCCCCTCTCCCCTCTCCCTTTTTCTCTTCCTCCCTATCTTCTTCCCTCATTTTCAGAGACAAAAGGTTTTCCCTATTTGTCTACGTTTTGTTATGATTTTCCTTCAACTATCATAGACGGCTGAGATTTGGCGTTGGATCTCCACCTTTTTTTTGGGCGTCGAATCTTCACCACCATCCTTTTTGCGGTTTCTTTATGTTTGGAATAAATCACAAAGATTCTTTGGGTTCATTGTGTAGTTTTCATCTCTTCTTTTGTGAGAGTCTTTCACCTTTTATTTGTGAAAGCTCTTCATCTCTCATTTGTGAGAGTTTTATTTGTATTGTTATGACTTGGTTTTTTCAAGCATTATCTTTTTTTTTTTATTCTTAGTTTGCAATCTTAGTTAGGATGCCTATGGCAGAGTTTCTTCGATCTTGCATGATCATTAGTGGAGGCGCACAAGATTGTCTTAATTTTGATGTTAGACCGCGTTGTTATTGTAGTGGCTCTTTATGGCTAGTTTGTATTGGCTCTTTGTGGCTAGTGACTTTTTTGGCTCAATTATGAATGCAATTTTAGAATTTATTCACACACAAAAAAAAGACTCATAGTTTCAACTATTTGCTGAATTAATGTTTACTAACTTAGAATGAGGAAAGTCATGAATCTTCAACAATAATATTACCTTACGACATGTTTACTAATCTATAATTGGATTATGAGGAATTGAATTGAGGATGAATTGAATTGAGGAGGAGTTGGATTGAGGAGAATTAGATTCTGAATTCTTATTGAAGTTGTTTACTAAACCATATGAATTGAGAGGAGTTAGATTATAGATTTATATTGAAGATTTTTACTAAATCATATGGAATTGGGGTATGAGTGATTCTAATTACTAAAATGTCCTCATTGTTGGGTTAAAGCATATGGTAAATTTGGAAATTTTAAAATTGTGTGAGGATATAATGGGTAAAAAATATGAATTCCTAATGAGTTAGTTCTCCACGAATTAGAAGACCACCTCCTACTCAAGAACTGAATTCCTCCAAAATCAAGAATTCAATTCCTAATTTTGTGTGGGCCCTACTGACTTTTAAATTTCTTGATGTCAAGTAAATAGAGGAATCTTCCATATGTGGAATTCAATTCCTGATTAGTTAACTGTAACATCTAGGAAAAAAAAAATTTAATGATATTAATAAAATATATTTTTTAAACTTAATTATGAGTTATAATTTTTTTTTTTTTTTAAAGGCAACGTGTAAGCCAAGCCTTTGTTCCTCCCTTCATTCTTCCCCCCCTTCCCTCTTACATTCTCTTCAAAAATCTGATTTTGATATCAAATTGGGATAAGTTGTAAACCTATTGGAGATTACTCACCTAGGTCTAGGCTAAGAGTATTAATTTCATAAATTAAGATAAGATAGGATGAAGGAGATAGAATTTGGGGTGAGGAAGAGAAGAAAAAAAAAATCTCTAAGGTGAGTCAATTTCGAAAATTTTGGTTTTAACCTTGTGGTTGTGTAATTTTAGTCTCTTAAAGAATAATTTGAGTCATATGAGTGTTAGGAAAATTGAATTGGAAGAGGTTGGACTTCTATTTTCGGGTTGAGTGGATAGAGCAATTTTTCAACTATGGGTGTTGTTGATTTTGGTTTCATTTTGAGTTTCTGATGAGTTCGATTGATAGGTATGAAGTTTAGAATAGTTTTAGAAGCCTTAGGAACAACTTGGGGTGTTAGAATGGTTGAAAACAACTTTGAACAAAATCTGGAAAATGTCATTTTCTGGACATTTTCAGCCCGTGAGCCTCACTTTGGCTCTCTTTTTCTCCCAATATTTTGAGTATTTGAGGAATTCAATTGTTGGGTTTTAAACTAGACATGGCAAGGAACAAAAACAAATTGGTTTCATCAAAGTTGGTTGAGTCTTGATAGGTCAAACACATGTGCAAAGTTTGGAAAAAAAATCTGTTTTCTGCAGAAAACCAGCCATGAGCCCAACTTTGGAGCTGGTTTTCTCCTTCGTTTTAGCTCCGTTTTCAGTGTGGTTTGTTGGGTTAGAAACTAGAGACATTAAGCTTCAAAACCACTACAAGTTTTCCCATTTTCGCTAACGTTTGGTCGGTCAAAATGCCTCACAAAATCTGAGATTAAATTTGAAAAACAAGGAAAAGTCGCAGGAATTTTTTTTAAAATGATAAACAGTAACTAGAAACAAGCCCACTTGCGGCTCCGGCAAGTAGCGGAGCGTGGGTGCATTCTCTATGTTAAGAGAGAAAAATATTTTTATAAAATTAGATTTTCTAACTTCATTTTTGTTATTTATTTTTTCAAATCTAGGAACGGGAGAGAACCCGGCAACCTCCGAAGGGTAATTTTGTCATTTTAGCTTCTTGGACACGAGGTAAGGTCTCTAACTTTTTCCCCAATGATTAGACTATATCACTTTTAATCTTGGTGTTTATATATAATACTAAATATGAATATCTTGTTGTTTTACTTGGTGGGTATCGTTAGGTGAATGCTAATGTTATTATTTTATGAATGTTTATCGCATATTAAATGATGTTTGATGAATATTACTATCCATGTGATTAAATTTAAAATATTATTATTTTTATTTGAATTGTTATTATTCTGCAAACGTTTAAGCTGCATTACATATGGATCATAAATACAGTTGTGTTGGGTCTGTGCGTAGTTTAAGATCTATCTAAAGGGTGGGAGAAGACTTTATATATATCAGGAAAAAAAATGTGGAATATATTCAGGTGACGGGAGTAGAGCTTGAATATATTGAAGTGATGGGAGCAGCGCCTCTAATGAAAAGTGAAAGTTGAGAAATTCGTTAACAAAACTTGGGGTAAGGGACGGATGAGCACTAATTTATATTTTAGAGTATTCAGAGCCACAGTGGCATGATATGAAACATACATGCTTGATGCCCTAAAGTATGAATTAGTGGGTTTAGAAGGGAGTGAGTTCATGACATCATCGCATATGCATAACTCATTTATCTTGTAATTGTTAGGAAATCGAAGTTCCACCAGAGGACTAGATCAGTGTTGTTAGTTACTGTTTGTAAAATTATTAAGGAATAAATTGTTGGAATATTACTCTAGTGTGTGTAACTAGCTTTGAGCTATTGCGACTCTGACTTTGTATTTATTAAATAAGCTTGTAATATTATTGGCTCTATTTCTATCATATCATGGTTATAGGAGTTTGTTTTTTTAACTATGGTATGATTCATGCCTTAATTCGGGGATAATCCTTATTTTCGAATCGGGGGGTGACATTAACACACCATTAATGTTTACTAAGAAAATCATCAATCAAGAAAGTTAGGGCTTGTTTGGTACACCGTGCAAGCTTGGACTGGCTTGGCTAAAATTTCATCCCATGTTTGTTTCACCCGGTTCTAATTTTAAGTGGGATTAACTAATACTGGGCCCACCAAAAACACCTTCTTAGGTGTTCTTAGCTAAACTCGTCTGAAGAGGAAGGACTAACATTCCCTACCCAATTATGCAACGAGCAACCACGCCCAATCGCTCCACAACCACCGACCCACCAAGCGACAACCACAACCACCAGACACTACCACCAGCCATAGCCACCAACCACAGCCACCCAAGAAGGAGAAGACAGAATTGAAGAGGAAGAGGAGAGAACAGAAAATTTTCGAAAAACAAAACAGAGAAGAGGAGAGAAAATGTAGAAGAAGAGATGAGAGAGATTTTTCGAAAAAAAACAGAGAAGAAGAAAGAAAATGGAGAAGAAGAGGAAAGAAAATGGAGAAGAAGATGAGAGAAAATTTTAGAAAAAAAACAGAGAAGAGGAGATAAAATTTTAGCAAAAAAGAAAGAAAAGAAAAGTAGACATAAGAAGAGGAGAGAAAAT